CATGGGGGTGAGTAGAAAATGAAGGCTAATCATGTTTTGGGTGTACTATTCCTTTAAGCACTGAAACAGGAATGGTTTTAAGGCAATGACTGTGAAATATTTTTCAAGAAATACCACCTCAGTAAATACTGTTTTCAAGTCCCTTTATGATACAAATTTTAAAGCAGTGACCCTCGATATAGAAAAAAGAAATCCTGTTATCCATTGGCATGATTCAATTTGTTAAAGGCAGTGATGTAAATTTTATTCTTTCATTTTAAAAAGTTACAGTTCAGTTTTTAGGTAAAAAAGAAGAATGACAGACAGTTTCCAATCAATTTGATTTCCAAGGCACATCTAAGGGTTTGCTTTAACTGTTGCCAATTAAAACTCTGCACTGTCTGTTTTCACCTCTTTCCCTAGTCGCATTTGTACCAGTTTAAGGACCTGGATTCAGTTTAAAAAGAAAAAAGAGACGAACAAACAGTCAGTACCCCAACTTTATCTATGAGAGAGAAAACAGGACAGAGGAATGGAGACATGAGTCCTCTCTATGGGAAAGCAAACCGACATGTGCGCAGATTAGGACCATAATTCTCTATAAACCGGGATTCAAAGTATTTCACACATATTCATATTTTTCCTTGAAATTGGCAACAAGCTACTAAATTAAAACTACAGAATATAACTTGTGGGTCATTTGAAGGCTGCATCAGTTTGCTGATCAAATAAACTTTAGTAAATAATGAAATTGAACCATTAGGCAGATTTTGTAGAGCGACTTAAACTGCTCCCGACCCCCAGAGGGAACCCATCAGTTTGTCAGTTAAAGAAAGCCGAAAATCTTTTGTTTAAATTCAGTATTAATATATGTCACACTGAAATGTTATTCCATGAGGGTCACATGACTTGTAAACACATTTTAATATTCATCACATTCTCTAATAACTGCATTTATAATTAGCTAAGTTTTTGTTTTTTAAAGCCAATATTTTAATTGTTTCAATTTTAATAATTTGAATTATATATATTATCAGTTAATTATAAATATATCAGTTTTATAAATTTTGTAAAATCATTGTTATTGTCATGATCGGCTTAATGGACTAAACCCACATGCAGAACACTAACGGAGACAGAGGAAAGTTAAACAATGTTTATTTATGAATACACAGAATGTTTCAAGATCTGGTTCTGGTACAGGTCCGGGACTGGTTTCAATATTATCTGGAGAGATGAGAGTTTGATTAGCCAGGCAGATGATGGTTTGACGAGTGAGTAGAATCTTGATAATACCTTGAGGAGGTTTTAACAGATCCGTGAGAGGAGGAACCGGTTGGGTCCAGAGTCTGTGGAGGTAGCAGAGAGCTCAGCAGCA